CCACCTTTCGTCATCTTTACTAAATTCCGCTTTGTTTCTTACAGTATGTAACTGTGTGTGCTATATAGTTTGTGTTATTTGCAGACCGATCTACGGTGAACAGAGATGTTTTTCTGACGTCTAATACGTGATCCAGAGTCTTTTTTTCCAGTTGGTTTATTTGTCTGGCGCGGCCATGTTGTTGGGAGCACTACCTGTCCCCTTTCGTTCTCTTTCCCAGTGCCGAAATATAAATACCACAAAATTTTTAAGAGTACAGGGGTATGTCAACCTCCACGGTGTCTGTCGTCTATAGTCTTACATATCAGTGCCATGCCAGGCACAATTAGAAAAAAAAGCTGTACTATCGGAAAGCAACGCCCAAATAGTAGGCCTAATGATCAAAGCGCTAACATTTTCTTTTGATGGCTTTTAACTTGAAGATACACAACTTTCAATTATTGTCACATTTTAAAATACCTTCTAGGTATAAATTAGAAATATAATATATATTATGTTCACCTCGATAAAATATTACGTACGCGACGACAACACAAATATACAGGTAAACGACCCCAAAGATGCCTACGGCGTTTTGGGCGGACGCCGTACGAACCAACGGCCTTTAATTGATGAGCAACAAAATCAAGCCTGGTGTACATCTTTTGTGGGGTCACAAGGAAACGGGGCACGTTTTCGGCAGGTTAGTTCGTCTTCTTTAAATTGAAGAAGAAACTGCGTCTGTGTACGTGTTTGTCTAAAGATAACCTTGCGTGAGTTTTCGTCTGGACACCGGACCTATCTTGGGAGATACGACGTGCACCTTCAAGTCAGGTGATGGATCAATTTTAGAAGTCGACACAATTAAGTATGCCCTGGGGATAGTTGGCGCACTCATGGTGGCATGTTTGTAAAGCTGAACTACAATTGATGCATCTAGGAACTTTGGATTACGTAATGCTTAAACACTTCAAACACATAAAGTTACTTACCTTAATTTGCTCGACTTTTAAAGCTACAACCAGCTGGAGAAGCAAGAAGACTTTCACCAAAATACCAATTGATTATCTATTCTGGGGTGTAGTATTCTTTTTCTTGAACTTGACGTGAACCATTTATTTGCAAGAAGGTAGCTCCATGGAGTAAGCTTTGTGCAGGCCATTTTTCCTTGAAGGTGACATTGCCTATGTATATGGATCAATTAAGTGCGTGGAGCTAGCCCTGTATTCGTCATTTTTTTCTTGAAGGTTACGTGAACCATGGAGGTGATTGGTGCAGCCCCTTCGAGTAACCTGAAGTAAAACGTCCGTTAGTGTCATTGAGGCAGAGCTGCCCACACATAATCTGGTTAATTTCGATTATTGATATTTTGAAAACAGGAACCACAAAGAACATCAGAACAGAGTAAACAAACCCGCGCCGGGACCTCGAGTCTTGTCCAGTAGAGAAAAGGACGATAGTGTCACTTGGGAACCAGACGTTCACTGCCAGAACTGTTTCCATTCGGTAAGTACTTTTATTCTACATGTATTTTGTCCTTGTTTTAAGTTTGATTTTCTTTAACAATGTACGTTTAGTTTATGTTGATGAGAACTAAATTAAGGGTATGTCCTACAAGAAAGGTTTTCCACCTTTTTTTGTATGGCAGCAATTAATTGTACATAAACAAAATTCTTTCATACAGGACAATATACATTACAGAATTCATTATACGGCATTATCATATAGCCAGGTGGCGTTGACCAATCAGAAGCCCCCATTTCATATTGATTATGACACCATAATGTCACAGTTAGCATGATACAAGTATTGCAAAATCATCAAGTGTGCTTTATTTCACAAGTGTGCCTTTGTTGCAGATCTAGAATAATGCACACTTGAGAGTAAACCATTATGGCGGGGGGGTCGATTTTTTTGCTAACATTTGTAGAACGTTTACTTGTTGTATTGAATAAAAATGTTTACAGTCTTGTCATCAACCAATTCTTAAATCAGCGCAAAACAAAATAAAGACCATGTCATAACATATTTCGCGCCACCCCCACTAGTAAGTACATTTCTGTATTGAAACATCCAAATAACCTCAGATGACTTCAGATGGAAGCTTGTTCTATTTTTTTGGCCCAAAATAACTACAAATGGAATACCGGCTCTGTTCCAAAAGTTCCGGTGAACTCAAAGTCTGATAGAACTGGTAAAAAGATCACACTAAAGAGCACACAATAGACAATGCTGTGTCAGAATTTGTCATAGAATAACTGATTGAGACCAATTTAGACTTAATATGTGGGTCCTTGGAATCGGAGAAAGATGCACAGGAACAGTGTAGTGGCCAGAAAACGGGAAAATAGAGGAGAGGCTGTAACTTTTTGTTATATAATTTAACTGTGTAAGATAGGCTATATGATAACAGCGTTAATGGCCTGCCCTTTCTCGGTGAATATGGTGTGATATTAATAAAGCCTTGTCAGTTGCTATAACCACCTCATAAAGCCTCAAAGCTTTATTCGGTGGTTATAGCAACTGACAAGGCTTTATCACACCATATTCACCTCGGGGCGGGGCCCTTAATTATTGTACCATTGATAATCAAAACATCATTTATAACTGGCCTCCTGTACATGAGCTACTTGACACATATCAATCATCAGACGTTGTGATAAAAAAAGTCGCATGAAAGCAGCGAACATTTTTTTCTCGAAAAATTATGATTTTTGTCAAATATCTCTCACAACAATTTTTTTCTCACAAGTTTCCCGCTATGATCTGTGGATCAGGCTATTGGAGGAGGGGAAAGAATATGCGATGTTGTATCTTTTTTCTCATCGCCTGCGTTCTTTCACTCATTATCCGATGGTTCCCCAACAACCCACATTTTCAGGTAGAATGGACATTTTTTAAATATCTAATATGTTGTTAGTTGCACTTTAACCTTTAACCCTATTCATGCGGGGGTGGACTGAGGCCCATGCCAACTTTCATCTTATATAGCGCCTGAACAGCTTGCGCTAGAACCATCAAATTAGATGACTCTTCTTGATCCAGTAGCAATTTCATGTTAATAAGTTAATAGATTTTCGTATTACCAAGAGAGCGAGTTTCAAAAAGTCATTTATATGTTTAATAATATTTCCTTTTTAACATTAATGACATCTTTTCATATAATGACTTGTAATTTTCATCATCTGGCTACCCCAGAAGAAATAGGTAAAAACAGACATTGAACTTTCTAGCACAGTCCTTAATATTCACTAATAAGAAACTCTAAGGTTCAGGATTCAACCTTATACCAATCATATTAGGGTGGTTTCTTCAAACGAATTTGGCTGAACACAGACAACAAACACATTCAGGTGAGTAGCAATGGTAGAATAACGGTAAATTACTATTTTAAGCCAAAGAAAGAAATCTCACCCCAGGGCAAATATATTAACGTGCCGCATGCCATTTTGACATTTCTTGCCGAAAACCAAATTACTCTTATGAGTTTTTTGTACATATGTCTTATAACTTCTCAAACGTTTTTACTGAGATTGGAACATTTTTTATTGATTTTTTTTATATGCCCACTCTACTCTACCACCAGAAAATGAAAAAAAAATTGAATCCATTTAACGATATGGCAGGAGGAGAAGGGGGGTGAGGAGGAGAAACATGAGAGAAAACAATATATTAAGTAAAAAAGTAAACGCATACGCTCTCTGAAGCCATTTCTAAACTAAACAAAATTTCGAAAAACAAAATCGGCAAAGGCACAGTGGTTATAGTGAGTTATCATGAAATTTTCTTTCCAGCACAATTTGAATCTATTTATGAAGCATGCTTCCCGAGCCAACCTGACTTTGTTTCTGATGGACCCTGCTGTACTTGCAGCTGTAAGGAACTCGTCCCGCAGATCAGAAGATGAAAGGAAGGTCACAAAAAACTGTAGATATCTATGTAGTTCTCAGGGAGTCATCACCCTGGGGCTTCTGGGTGATTCTGGTGTAAGGCTCAAGGTGGGTTTCGCAAGCAAAGTCTTGATATCAGTCAATGGAATACCACACTAATTGACATGAAAATGAAATGAATGTGTATTTATATATTTTGTAGTCTTCGTATGTTATTCTTTTTTGTTGATGCAGGATAAAAATACAAAGGTCCCGTTCTACTCTGTGCAGGGCATAGGGGCGGTGTCCATCTCCATTTCTGTAGCCCATGGGCCACATAATTCTGCAAGCACTACAGCAAGGGGTTACCCCGCTCGTAGCATTGTGTGTTTGACCTTCCTATACTCTTTCTCATAGATGGTCAATTTAAGATGCTGAGTGCTAAGCAGAGAGAGCAGAATGTACCATTTCTAAAGTCTTTGGTATGACCCGGCCAGGGTTTGAACTCACGAGCTCCCAGTTATAAAGCGGGCACTATACCCGATCAAGCTATAGCACTGGAAGAAAAGCAACAGTGTGAATTGAAGAAAATGTGGCACCAAATAAAGTCAAAGTTAGAACCTTGGTCTGTATTTTTTGCAAATCAATGTTGATTAAGTATATTTTGTGTGCATCATGACAAAGACTGAATGCACCATCATGGAAACACAATCTTTCAAATACGTTTGTTAGTAGTTTGTCTTTCAATATGGTGCCCTTGAAATTACTTTCACCATGATTGATTTTATCCACCATGTTTTCCAGCCTGACCTGTTGCAGAGTCTCCATGGTGATGGTTTCCAGTATGTCATCACTGAAGGTCATTACCCCAGACTGGCAAGTGTGACACCCATGGCTGCTACCAAGGTCAGGTGGGGAGGGGGGCATAGTGTACAAGGTCAGGTGGGGAGGGGGGCATACTAGTAGTGTACAAGGTCAGGTGGGGAGTGGGACACATTTTGCAAGGTCAAGTGGGAAGGGGAATGTACAAGATCAGGTGGGGAGGGAGAAATAGTGTGCATGTTTATGTCGACAGGGAGAAATAGTACATGTTCATGTCGGGAGTACATGTTAACATCATAAAGTACATATTATGTTAATGTAGAGGTCATTTGCATACTTTATGAGGATATGCAGAATTTCATACAGGAAATATTGTAGGATTAAGAAAACCATAAATTGAACTAGATTATGGCAATAACGACCTTATTTCCATAATCGAAAAGACATACAAAAACATTCACAAAAATTTACATGTCATGGAGGTATTAGACTGAACTGCCAAAGAGATGAGGTCTTCACTTTGATATCAACCTCTAGGTTCCACATCACATGTTGTTCAGACGGCAGGATTCCATTATCCACATTGTTGTGTTGTACAAGCATCCAGGGACGTTTCTGTGGCATGCTGCCGTCGAATCAGGGAATTCAACACAGAAGTGGACGTCACTAATAGGAGATAGGCAAATACAGTTTGGGAAGTATGAAGGAATATATGACAAGTAAGTTTCAATTATGTATCGATGAGGTTAGTAAAATCCTTGTTAGCCTACCAAAGCACGTGAGCACCATATTGGACACTTTTTGGAGAATGAAGAAGATACCTATAGTTAATAATTTTAAAAAATCATAAAACAATTCTTGCATTTTGTCGCAATGCAGTAAACCTTGACATGCATGCTTACATTCCAGCATGGAGATAGTACCCACCAAACTGGATGGTGTAAAACTCAACATTCCCAAGGACCCAGCAGCATTTCTTCAGCAGATTCCAGATGCCAGATTCCTGGAATGCAACTACGAGCAGGCCAGGGCATTCTACACAGCGTACGGGTCTGACCTGACTGCCAAGGATGTCAAGTTTATAAGGCATGCAACCTCTCTCCTGTCCAAAAGCAAGGCTGTGCTGGACAGGATAGGTGTTCGCTTCTGGATTTGCAGTGGGACATTATTAGGTGAGTACTTGGGGGGGGGGGGGCAGGAAATATTTGCTGAAAGATGTTTTTACCAACGCTAAAACTAATTCCTAGAACAATAATGACACAGATGTAATGTAAATCTGATACTTTATTAGAAATCCATTAGATTAGACATAAATTTTCAACCCACTCATCACTGATTCCCCAAAACACAGTGTACATGTGCACATTGTTGCAAACGCAGTAGTGCGTAACACTACAAGTACATTTATAAGACTTCATTTGGCATAAACCTACAGCGCAACATACGACATTTCAAGATCGCTTGTTTGAGATCAGTTACAATGATACTACATTCAGCGTCTTGTACAAGTACCTTACCACCAGTACTTTAAGGGTATGTTTTGTACAATCACATTCTAAAAGCACAGTTACCACATACGTAGCAATGTCCTATTTACCATGACATTCCAAGTACATTCCTGAAGAAAAGAATGACGTTTTACACCAATGATGCAAGCATTCACCTGTCTTTGCCTGTCTTTTAACTTTTCTGTGATATATTCATTCCCTCCCCACATTCGTCATTTCATTCCCTATCGACTTTCCCTACACTTTTTCACTCACTCACTCACTCTGTCTCAATCTTGTTTCATATTCCTATACAGTCATTTGTGACTTGTCTACTGTTTTGGTAGGTTGGTTCCGACAGTGTGGGATCATTCCGTACACTAATGACGTGGACATTGGAATCTGGATCAAGGATTACAAAGACACATTGATCCCAGCTTTCCAGGCAGCCGGGCTGTCTCTCAGACACAAGTTTGGAAAGGTGAGCATATATTTTGGGGGTCGTAACATCTTATTATGTGAGCGTGTGTTGACGTTACGAGGATATGTATATTACGCCAAAAAGCAGTTACTCAAGAAACTGGATATAATTTTGGAAACGTTTCAGCTAGTATCCACTAGCTTTCGTCACTGACTGCTTTTTGGCGTATCGTATTACCTGGATGTCTAACCTTCATAGAGATATGCATATTAGTATGTAGTCTCTACTGGAACTTGGGACGATGCACTATTACACTACGTACTATTGCGAAATTTTGTTATGAAATTGCTAGATTGGCATTCTTTAGCTATAATTGAAGACGCAATACTGGTATACTAAATTTTGTAGTAAAATCACCAATAACTCTCCCTAAGGCGTTTACCGTACATTTTTATGTACAAACTTAGGCCATGTTGATTTGATTATATGGATGCCATCCTCTGTAAACCCCAAAACTGACGCGAGCGTGCGAATGAAGACGTTTGGCAAGCAAATTGCCTTTAATATGAAATCTACGTAGTCAGGAACAAATGACTAAACACACCACACACAGTATGGAATTGTGAATAATAGAGTCTATATTCCAATTTCTTCACATTTTCCTTTGGAATAGATTTTTCTATTGCAGACCACATTCGTATATTTCTTTCCAATTTGTTTTGCTCATTACAACATATATGGATATTTGCTGATGCTTTGCACGATTTACATCATGGTCGAAAACCTTTTCTTGAACGGACGCCATCCATATAATCAAATCAACATGGCCTTATACATAACAGGAACCTAAAATGTTTAAACTCATTGATTTTTCAGATGGAAGACAGTTTTCAGCTAGCCTTTAAGTCAGCAAATGTAAAAATAGACATTTTCTTCTTCTACGAGGAGGGGGACATCATGTGGTTCGGTGCGACCGATGGGCGGACAGGAGAGAAGTTCAAGTAAGTTTTCCTTTGCAACAAAAAAGATCTTCTGGACCTTACAAAGACACAGAACAGCGCCCGGATTAGATTTGGACAGTCCAGTTTTATTCCGGACTACTTCCCATGTCCCAGCAACCTTACATCTAGATTGGCATGTCGTTAACTACAGATGAAAACGATGTAAGAAATACGTAGCAGCCATCGTAGGATCCCTTAGGGGTTAACCCAATTCTGTAGACTTCTGCAGAATTCTTGAGCTGAACATGAACCCAGAATTCTGTAGAATTCTTGAACTGGAGCCAGGATTCTGCAGAATACTGGACTAAAGCCAGAATTCTACAGAATTCTGGTCCAGTTCAAGAATTATGTAGACTTCTGCAGAATTGGGTAAACCCCTAAGGGGTCATCGATCTACGTATTTCTTACATCATTTTTATCTGTATGTAGTTAACGACATTCTCATCTAGATATAAGGTTGCTAGGACATGGGAAGTTGGAAGTCCGGAATTAATCTGGACGCTGTTACAGGCAAATGTCATGGAAACAGAGGATTGTGTCTTGTAGAAGAGATGGTTGTTAGATCAGACATCTTGCTGTTACATGTAGGTGTGACCATTCTTTGAATGGGACATACTGCTGACATACTGTCAGCATATTTAAATGAGACAATACCTTTATACAAGAAAAGCCAACGGTACGTTATAAAGAGCAGGGGTACAGTGAGGTGTACTATGAAATACAACACTCAGTGTGGTATTCCACACAGTGATATACCATTCAGATTCAGTACAGTTTGTTGGTGAATAAGCGTGTATGTATTACTCTCATTTTCATCACTTTGCAGGTACATATCCCCCAGGTTTACGCTGTGCTGGACAGAGTTTTTAGACATGAAGGTTCGAGTACCATGCCAGACGCTTGCATACATCCATGCTGACTATGGACCCAACTGGTACGAACCGGTCAAGGAGTGGGACTGGAAAAACAGTGCACCTAACATCCAGCCAAACGGACAGTGGCCAGAAGAGGAGTGGTCAGAAGTGATACAGTATTTTCATGCGAAATGATGGTTTAGAACTTTCTGCCAGAATTTTCAATAAGATTTCAAATATATACACATCGATGTTCTTTCTTTTTGCTACCTTCTTTTTTCATTGTCCAAAAAGAGAGTCTACTAGCACACCGCCTATGACAACAATCTCCTCTGGAATGGTTGGAACAAAATGTAAATTCAAATTTTGTTGTTAAACGTAACATTATCAAGTAAATTTGAATTTAACTTGCTTCTTAATAATGGTAAAAATGGATATGTTTCATAATCGAAGGTTCGTCTGTGTTGATTAGAAACATGCATTTGTCTGTACTGCGTAGATGTATGAAGCAGGGAAATATAGATTGTATCAGACTATAAAGTTCTGCTCTCTCTTTGTTGTATAGTTTATTCGTATATTATTATATAGCCAGATGACGTCGACCAATCAGAAGGCTCCGTTTTCCCCCATAACCCAGGTCATTAATACCCTATATTCTGTTTTAATGACATAAGAACCGAGGTAGACGTTACCATTGCATGACAGGGTGGTGTTTTCTTCTAACCTACTTCTAATTCTTAAGAAACCATATACTCAGACTTGTTTATGTTTATGTAGAGTAGTAAATTAATTTAGATAATGATAAAACTAAAAATAATTGAATTTAGCTGTAAATTCAGGGAGAAAAAGCATTATTCATTACTTTTTTTTACTTGGCCCTCCTATTCTACTCCGCGAATTATGACACCGTATACTCCGAAGGAAAGCGGGTCATTAACGTTATTATGATATAGACATTATCATAATTCGCGGAGCCGGACGGTTATTCGGTGTTTATAGGAACCAACCATGGATTATGACACCGTATAAAAAAGGTCTATAAAACAAGCCAATGACGTGCATCTGCTTGGTTGGCCTTGCTAATTACGTCACATCTCCCCCGGGAACGGAATAGACTGTTCCAGCCCCTGGCCTCCCACCACGGCGGTGGCTGGGGGCAGCCGGACTAAAACTTTCTAAAAAATCAGGTTTAACCTCTTCAAATCGGTCCGTCATACCGCCACAGGAACCAGCAAACGTACTGTCAAGATCAAGACAGCCCAACAGAAAACGGTTTTAAAGGGCGTTAGCTGGAACGTTTCTTATAGTTGAAAACAAAGGCACAACAGTATCCTAAGGTAAGTGTGTTTTCATCAACCCTGACCACAGGAAAACTTTATTTCATTACCTAGAACCTTGAAGTTATGATTAGAATCAGGAACGTTAGGTCTTTAGAGATATCATTTCTGACCTATTCAAGCCAGTGTTTTACCCCTCTAAGTTAATATCTTAACTCCATATTGTGCGTTTTTCATAGGAAATGCATAAACAGGGAACTGGTTACGTACGATGACCAGTCGGTTTTCCCCAGTCTTGTTTGCTTTGCAAATTTAGCTCTGTACATCTCTGGGATGGGAAAGTAAACTGCCGTTACAAAGATATGTCACTCAAACGAGGACCGTAATCTTGTTGTCATGACAACGGGCAAGAGGTCCCGAGCTATCAGTAGGGCAGAGCGTGGTATTTACCAGGTCATACGCAGAATCTGCCGACACATCGATAACATCAATAAGGCTGAGGGAACGTCAGATTCCTGATCAAGTGGTTTTAGACCAAAGACAGCTGTGTTCTCTGTCCATGGTCCATGGTGTTGGGAGAAGACACATGACCAGTAATTAATCATGCCAGGCAGCTGGATGAGTGGCACGTGAGCACAGGGTGTAAGTTACCTGCTTGATCCAAAAACCACATGGCCGAAGGTTACCTCAGAACCAATTCCCTGGGGAATGCATTCGTGCAATTTTTGAAATTCTTTCAAAGCGATCGTAGTACTTACACAAATGCCTCCGCCCCAAAGGCGTCGCCAAAAAGAAATATCAACAACAACTTGGTAACAATTATATTTTGCGTTGAAAACCCCCGAAAATGCCAGGTCAACCTAGTCCCTATCTAGCTTATTTTAATACACTGTATGTATATATGTTTATATGCTTAGAACTATAAATATGGATGGATTATTATGAAATTTAGTGGGTGGGTCGGTAGGATTAGACATATCAAATAAAATTTTAGATTTTGGACCCCTGGCAGCTTTTGTTGGTCGCAGAGGAGACGCTAGAATACTGGATGACAGGTGTTTTATAATTTATATTATCTGCATTACATAGAAAAATTATACATCAGCTTTGTCAAGATATATGTCAAGATGGGACTTATATATGGACAACTTCGGATATTTGGCTAGATCATCAACTGATACAATTTACGTACATGTAAATAGTGACCTTATTTGTATAAGCAACAAGAGATCGTTACGTGGTTGATTGAAAAAATGGTGATCGGTTCACCTGATCCAAGGAAATGTCTGAAAAAATATTTGTGCTTTCTTGGACAATTGGACTTTCTTTTATTGTAGCTTTTACAACTGTGCAAAGTCTTAGGAGGGACTCACACAACTCACCATGGCTGAAGGACATCATGACAATACTGCAGGTAAAGTTCTTAACAGGTCTAAACTTTTAAAGTAAGCTAACTGTGGTAACCTAGACCTATCATTGTGTTTGTATCCAAAGAAATGCCACAACGTTAACGTTACTTCAAACAGCAGAAATATTTAACAGATACCCGGCATCGTTCTTTAAGTGCCATTGTATATCAAGTGCGAACTTTTGCCAGGAATCAAGTGACTTACTTTAATATACTAGGTTTTAGAATATTGTAGATTAATTGTAAGATGGAGAGAAAACTAAAGGGCGAGTTTTTGCGATATCGAATGTTAAGTTTAAAAAATTCCCTTGTATTTTTTGCAGATGTTATTAAGTACTTCTTTTTCATCAAGGAGAATGTCAGCTCAGATTGGAAAGACCTGGCCTTCCATCTTGATTTTCGGCGGTCAGACACTGACAACATTTCCGGTAGAAACCGGGATGACAAGTCCCGCTGTATGGACCTGTTGGAGGAATGGCTCAAGTGTAACGGGGAGAAAGCCACCGTAGAGGTCCTGATGGAGGCTCTGTCTCAGGCAAACCTACAAAGTACAGTGGACGGACTAAAGAACAAATATCCTGGTATGCAGTGTTTTGTTCCATTTCATTTCAACGAAAAATTCGTGAGCAAAATTCGTATCATTGGATGAGATTCTATGTGTCCCTTCCATGTCCATTTTAGAGCAAAAGATGTATTTAATTCATAGATCTTTATAAAAATCTGAATCTATGCCCCCTCCCCCAATTGTGTAAAAATTTTAAATATCATATTATGTAGGAGTGTGCATATCGCGATGTTAGACCTAGCTAACACAACCTTTGAATTTTAGTATGCATGCAATGAAGAAGACGAAATGGAGACGGTTTCGTTACTGATATGTTTGTGTCATTGTGTCATCTATACAGAGTTGAAGACACCGCAAGCCTCAAGTAGCCAACAGGAAATGAAAGGTAAGAGTCATCAAAAATATCTGACGTAGCTTTATGGTCTTTGTATTACTGTGTTAAAAACTTTGCTGCTTTTCTTTTGCTTGTTTCAAAGGTTTTAGGTATTTCTAGGTTATACGCAGGTTCTAGTTCACTGTTACAATCATCGAAAAAAATCAATCTTGTTAATAATATGTCGGAAAATATAAGTTTCCTCCCCTGTTACTTTGTTCACCAAAAATCTTCCATTTTTACGTTCGCATAGGTAATATTTTTGGTAGCGCTTGTTTGGCTGTTTGGAGATATGTTTGTGGTTTAACACCTTAACCGAAGAAGGTATGGATGGACTGTCATGAAACATGGGTAGGTCTTGACGAGACCTGGATATCCTGTTTCATTCAGCGGCTTGTTGATAACAGGTATCCCGAGGTCAGGGTGTACATAGTGTTGAACATGAACAAATTTTATTTTGTACTATAAGTAATACCATAGATTCTATTATTTTACATTTGGATAAGAAGGAGCGGTCTAAAAGTTGCACTCTTTTAAACTTGACATGCTTTCACAATGGGCAGTCTACGGACACTACTGGACACTACAGCTCATCAGGCATATGACCTATATCTTTCAAAAACAAGACTGTCCTTGGGCAACTGACGAGAATATACTCAGATACTTGAAAATGAGGACCATATTTGCATATTAAATGAGAAACATCCATAATCTATCAGTCGTAAATGTTAACATCATCTGGCGAAGGGATAAGGTCCTGGAACTCCAGTTGAGAAATTGATATATATGTATTAGAAATGTACCTGTAATGAAACCATATGAAAATGATGGCAAGTGAACAATTATCAATTGAAATAGCTGTATGCGACAGTCGTATTCTGCCTCGCAACAGTGTCATTTCTATTCCAGAACTGTTCCAGAAGGCAATACGGAAGTACTATGAGTTGAAACTGACCTACTTCAAGCCTCTGATCTGGAACGATAGCTTCACTGTTACTCTCAGTGACATCTTCACCCAGTTAGAATTGATACCAATAAAAGAGAAACAACTGAGAATGTCTAAAAATCTCCACCCAGGACAAGGAACAAAACTCAATTCATTAGACGCCTTGTTCAAACCCGACGATGGCACAGGTCAATCCCAACCACCAAGGTGCATTCTGATTGAGGGTGAAGCCGGAGGGGGGAAGACAACGTTTCTGTCCAAGGCAGCCCTGGATGCCGTCTCACAGAAAACAGAGCTGGGCAAACGACACGACATCGTCCTATTGGTCCGACTCCGGGAGGTGAGAGAAGGGGAGACCATAGAAGAGATGGTGTGGGACCAGTGTGTGCCTCAAACGGTAGGTGTTGATGTAGAGTCCATCAGAGCAATGCTTCAAAGGAACGAGTCCCGGGTGCTCTTTCTCCTAGATGGGTTTGATGAGCTTCGACCCAAAGCCAGGGCTGACAGACAGGCTATTCCCAAACTGTTGGAGGGCAAACTGTACCCCAACAGCACAATCGTGATCACCTCCAGACCCTCAGCAGGAGTGCAGCAGTACACTCGGCCAGACTGTCATGTACACATCATGGGCTTCTCCGTCCCGGAGGTGGTACAATATATCAGGCAGTATTTCAACATTGCCCAAAACTCCGAACGAGGAGAACACCTCATAAATCAGCATTTTAAAATCATGATTCGTTCGGAAAGCCGCATTGTTCATGATTTGATCCACACTCCTATTTTCCTATTATTGATTTGTGTGCTGTGGGAGGAGAACCAAGAGATGGTGTCTACTGGAACAATGACGGGGCTGTACGACAGCCTTCTGACATGTCTGGTCAGAAAGTGCTGTAAGCGGGAAGGGGTGGACATGCCAACAGACGGGCTGCCTACAGAAGTGGCAGATTCATTACTGCAATTTGGCAAGCTAGCGCTAGGGGCACTGCAGAAGAATGAGACCCTTATAGATCTTGCAGAAGTAGAGAGAGAAAATGTGAACTGGGAGTTACTGCTTAAGTTGGGCGTGGTCTCCTTGGAAGTTTCTGCCTCTAAACTACACCCTAGGAAACAACTGAACTTTTCCCACAAGACGATGCAAGAGTACCTTGCCGGAAGATATGTCGCACATGCTCTGATGAACCAAGACGTTGCTGAACTGCTGCAGCTCACCTCGATAAGAAAGGCGGTTCAACTCAAGAACCTGCTTCGGTTCACGTGTGGCTTTAATTCACAAGCGGCGCAAGCTGTCTTTACTGAGCTGAGCAATCTCCGTAGCAAAGTGTTTCCACATGTACATGTAGGTAAGTTCAAGACACGAGGTCCTCTATATTCTAAGTTAGATAAGGAGAATAAAAGGGAAATCTATGAAGAGTTTACTTTGCTCTGCCTCGACCTCTTGGATGAAAGAAAAGAGCGAGGTGTACTGAGGGCTGTCAGCAATGCCCTGCCAGCTATCTTCATATTCTTTCAACCAGGAATTAAACCACAAGATAGCCTTATGCGTTACTTGGACAACATCCTATCATCGCAACATCAGGACAAAGTAAAGGTTTTTGCCCGTTTCACTGACAATGTTCCACTGTACACTGATCACAATCTGGCCTTATACTTTCTTAAACCGCGATTAGAATTGAGACTGACGATTCAAAGCCTTAATCGTTCACCCGATGAAACTACCAGGCTGGTGTCAGTTCTGAAGTATGTTTCTGGTCTGAGGGGGCTGAAACTGTCGTTTTACCTGAAACGCTCTCTGACACCATCGTCACTCCAGCAACTCGTTACGGGGTTCAGACATATGTCTCAGTTAGAAGAGCTTGATCTTTCTTTCAACCCTGATCTCGGTGATGCTGGTATTGATGTCCTGAAGGATGGACTGTCCAGTATGCCCCAGCTAGCTGTACTCCGCCTTGGGGATGTCGTATTTGGAACAGGCATGACGGCTGTAGGCATGGCATCGATGGCACCCTTCATGCGCCACCTAACGGGCCTCAGAGAACTGGACATATCTTCGAATGAGATCGGCGACACCGGGCTGAAATCTCTCACCGACGTCCTCCACGTTTTCACCGCCTTGCAGGTGTTGGGCCTGAGGAGCACCGGTATCAGCTCCGCAGGCATGCGCACACTGGTCCCTGCACTGTGTAAGCTAACCAGGATGGCGGAACTGGACATTAGCTGCAATACCCGCATAGGAGACCCTGGATTGGAATGCCTGGCTGACATCCTCCCCCACCTCACGGGCATGAAGGTGTTAAATCTTAGTGGCATAGGTGTCACTGACAGGGGGGTATCTGCTTTGATCGTAGGTCTGCCTCACATGGAACTACAGGTCCTTGATGCGAGATGGAATGAGATAGGGGAATCAGGGATCGTCTCACTGGTTCAAACTATCTGCCAGCCGGTGGACGTGGCACGAAACACAGCCCCTCACTGTAACTCCACAGTGCAGGAGCTGTACATCGGGTGGAATAAAGGAGTAACGGGAGCTGCACTGGAGACGGTTGCACAGCTCATCAGCGCACTGCCGGCTCTGACCTTACTGGACTTGACTTGTGACTGTGACACACCCGCAAACCTATCTGACACCGCTGCCATGGCTCTAGCCCAGGCTCTACACAGACTCCCCGCCTTGGAGTGCCTGAACCTGTACAACTTCTCCATGGAGCCTGCAGGGTTCGAGGCTGTGATGCAGGCTGCTGATGAACACCCAAAACTGAAAGAGCTGGTGTGAGTACTAACTTTATTGGGTACAACATACATTTTAGTATTTTAGCCCCAATCACAGTTAGTTGTACCTAAAACAGGCCCCAATATAATTCTGAAAAAAATCTAATACCGGAAAACCTTATTCATTTCAAAGTATTGTTTAGCCAAATGAAGTAATATCTGTTAGTATGATATATTAAAGGATAATGAATATGTTGGTTATTGTTAGACGTCTCCAAGAACAACCCTGGAGAATTCTGGAGAATTTCTGAAATCTGAGCCAGAATTTTTGGACCTTAATTTAGGTTTCCAGAATTCTCCAGAATTCTTCTGGTTCAGGTTCCCAGAATTCTGGACAGAATTCTGGTGAAATTCTCCAGAATTGGCATTGTCCCTGGAGTGCAAGCTAGATATTCATTATCCTTTAATATATCTTACTTGCAAATATCAATAAATTTGTTCATTATCTATTTTGAAATGTTAAAGGGTTTCCGGAATTTCAGGTGTCTGTCCAGAATTTTACTGGGGTCTGTTCTTTTCGTACTCTCACTGTTTTTTCTCTATATCAGACAAGACCAAATAGAAACAATTCCCAAAACTACTAAGCAACACCTATAGAATGGAATTCTGACAGCCAACTGTAAGATAACACTTCTTTACGAATTGAACGAAGAAAAATACATTCCAGGTTATTATATGTTAACTGACCAATTATAACAAACAAGGAATTTCATAGAAGAGTACTTACAGAACATTATATTTGCTTGTCAGGTTCCGTACTTGCAATGGGCAATTATAAAGCGATTTTTATTCCATAGACAGTGTTTCTGTTGAATGACTTAATCCATACTTATTTGTTTTTATACATTTTCGCCCTTTAACCTTCAGGTACGAAAAAGAGCTGGTTCCTGAGGGAGCGGATACCAGTGCTAGCTGCTTGGATCTGTGGTTGTAGAGTTACAACCTCATGATCGACTTACAGGTGGTTTCAAGAACTATTTCAAGACCCTATTTTTCTGTGTTTGGACAACCTGATCTTGAGTTTGGACTTTTGAGCATCTACATTATACGGCATCAATATTCGTGTAAACCCCAAAATACTCTCCAGATCAATTACAACCATGTAAAACAAATTGATTCCCAAACAACCATTGGGAAATCTTCAAAGCGGCGGCTCTTCAAAAGTCTTGGGTTGATCATGAAAATTATGCTTTTAATGTGTTCTTCTGGATAATTGTTTGCCAATTCATAACCTTAAAAACTTTGCTTTCCATTTGTATGGCCGAAAAGTGACTTTGATCTCTGCCAATCATCCTAGTGAAACTAATGCTTAAAGATTAAAGATTTAAATAGAGATCATTATCTTAAGAGATAGATTTAATAATGTTGCCCTCAAAACAGCGGCGGCTGTTAGGTAATCCGGGGGTGATCTTGAAAATTAGCTTTGTAATCTGTAAATTGATGCTTTGCGCAAGAAAATGACTTCAGCAATTATCCCATTGAAATTCATACATCATTGCCATCATCCCCTTATATAACATTGGTCTGCATGGCGGGACACTACTCAGTTACTGGATTAAAAACATACAGTCATGTAGTTCAATTATTTGTTAAACTTTAACTGGATTTTCGGAATTTGGCCGATTTTGTATCAATACCAATATGTTCTTTTAGAAAATAATACTGGCCTCTGCTATTGAGACTGCTTTTAAGAACTGGCAGACTATTCATTCATGTCATAGGTACAGGCTATTGATTACATTATAAGATGTCTCAATTCCCTGAATGATTTCTGTAGACTGCAGATTGAGACACATTTTGGAGAGTAGTTTTAATAACTTATCCCTTTCAGTGTTGTCTTGTGGACGATGGCAAATAAGTGTATTTCATGTTGCACTGCGTTTTCTGTACAATAATTACATATTCTATTGTTGACAAGTAATTGTTTCTATCAGCCCTTATGTACATCTTATATATGGGCACTTACTCTGCGTTTTTATATGACTGACCTTAATTTGAAGCTTTTGATGCGTAAAGAAAAATGCCCTAAGGTCTACACAGATTTGAGATGTTTTTAGAATTTTGTTTTACCGACATTAACTTAAAGATTGCATAGAAAGGTTTGGATATACATGTCAGAGATTCTTCTTCTAGTATGCTTGCTAGTATATGTTGCTTATTGCGATCAACGTTGTTCTGGTGAGAAAAATGAAATTAAAGAAAATGATAATCACAGTAGCCAATTCGCAAGTATCACGATGTTACACAAACAGTAAGTGATGTTCAAAGGGGCTATCTAACTATAAGGTTTTATCTCAGAACCCCTTGATCCCGTTCAAACGCCCTAGCCACGAGGCCACACGGTACTACTACATGTTATCAGTTGCAGATATACTAGGAACACCGATTATTCGTCAACTTCAGCACTACGAACAGGTGTGTGTATAAGGATACAGTCATGCTACTTACAGAATATTTGTATGCGGCAAAATGCGTACAGAATATATGTCAATGGCAACATGTAAATTAAGTACGTATTCGTTAACATGCATTCTCTAAGATTTAAAAGATTTTTAACTGCTTATTTCCCTAACTGCATACTGTATGGATTATCTTAAATGCATTAGAATTTATTTACACGATCAAATGTGCTGAAATCAGTTGTGCAATCAGACAGAAAAGAAAAAAAAGCAATAGCCGCTTATCGTTATATGGTGAACAATTCATTGTAAAAGGGCACTCATTTTCATATTTGGGATCAGACGAAATGTAGACCCCGATTGCAAGAAGTTTGAAGGATTATATTTGACACTTTCATCGTGGTGGCCTGCCATTGTTGGATAGGGAGGAATAGGAATATGTTCCTTTTTCCTGGCACTTGTACAATCTACAGCTGCAGTTACCGATATCATTATATGTATATTACATTTTTCCTCCCTAGCTTTGCCATTAGTAATTCCAGACACGGGCATTATGTGTGCAATATTGATATCCGGCATACGTTTTGGTATGCATGTGCATAACTTTTTCCACATATACATAGATTAGTCATTAGGCGTTGGCCTACCTAATACATACAGAACTGGGGATTTTAGGAAATGTATGACAAGACACAGGACATACATGTATATTGAGCAAAAATTTGAAGAAGACCCTAAAAAGTCCAAACATACATGTCCTTGCTTTTGAGGCAGAGCTGCTCTAAATCGGGTCATGACCGCTTAACCGACAACAACAGCCACAAGCGGATATGTAAAGAACATCGAGACAGAGTAAACAAACCCGCACCCCTACCTCGAGTCTTGTCCAGTAGAGAAAAGGACGATTTGCAGATAGAGTGTCACTTGGGAACCAGACGTTCACTGCCAGAACTGTTTCCATTCGGTAAGTACTTTTCTTCTACATGTCTTTTGGTATTGAATTACATACTGTATGGTGGACACTATGTATGCAGTAAGGTTGTTACGATGCGTACATGTAAATACTACTGTACTGATATCATATGACTCATTTATACTGAATAAGTGTTTACCACGGCGCCTATTATATTTGACCAAAAGGTTCTTGTTGAATAGAACGGCCTTGATTTGACGAAGCAGGCTATAAAGTTGCAGCTTGACAAAAATGTTGACTTTAGTAAGTCCTACTACTAATGCTATGGTCAGTCAATTTACAAATGACAATCCTGCTTCTGAATCACAACATATTTCCAACAGTTACGTCTGGAATTTATTAGTCTTTAACGCCCTTTTGTTTCCTCACATTAGAAAAGAGACGGACGGTGTGCGTTTGTGGGCTTTTCATCGCTGTGTATCTGTGAAGAGTACGTAATGGCCAGAACCCGGATGTACGTTGCGTTTACGGTGGTTACTGTTGTGGTGATTTTTATTACGGTATGTTTTTCTTTTACCGTTACCATGGCCAGACCATGTTAGTATTAAAATACTACATGAGACCGTACTGTCCAAGCATAAAGACTCATACATGTAATACCGTTTAAACTTTGATCCAACAATAGGCAATGACTAATGTGAAATATAGTTTTGTTATTTTAAGCTGTCGTTGTTTAATAGATTGGTCATGTAATAGATCGGGCTCTTTTCATATCTTGTTTTATCTATTCTTCTCAATATTACTGAGTGCAGGTTGAACCATAATGTAACACATACAAAAATGCCTTAATCAATACCAGACTGTGTGTGTGTTTGTGTGTGTGTGTTGTGTGTGTGTATTTGTACATTGAGTTAAAATCATCTTTATTAAGTTTTGACAAACAAACAAGACGAGCAGTTAAAACACCTAGGTCAATCCCTTAGTATGAGTTAATAATATGAACTCACGGGACGCAAGGTAAGTATGCGTGCGTCGGACTAACTGGACGCCGAAACAGCAGTTTAAAAAATGATAATTCATTACATGTCTGCTCAATATAATAAAAAGTATACATTAATATATTGCACTGGTTGACTATTGCACTTCCTCGTGTAGCAATTATTTACAGCATGAGAACAGTCCCATGGGTTTTTCCTAACCAACAGTATTTCTTGCACAGTAAATGACATACGAGGTACATATTGCACATTTGCCCAGTCTGCTTTTCAAGTGTCTTACCTCCCTGTCCTTAGCTTGTGGTTGACAACACATAGTGATTTTAACTTAGAGGTGTTTTCCCCACTTACCCACCCCCTACTTCCTACTTCAATCGTTACAAGAGTAGCCTCATAGCTGCTATGACTGTGAATTTCGTTCAACAAGTCTTGTTTTTGTGTGTGTATTTGTGTGTGTGTGTGTGTGTGTGTGTGTGTGTGTTGTGTGTGCTGTGTGTGTATTTGCATGTGTTTATGTGTCTGTGTGTGTGCGTGCGTGCGTGCGCGTTCATGTGTACGCGCTTGTATCTTTGTGTGTGTTGTTTGTGTGTGTATTTGTGTGTGTGTGCCTCTGTGTGTGTGTGTGTGTGTGTGTGTGTGTGTGTGTGTGTCTGTAGACACGATAACTTGAGAAGGCTTAAATGAATTGTCTTAATACTTTTTATGTGAGTAGGTCTTGATAAGACCTGGAAATTATTAGATTTTGGACCACTTAGCGCCTTGTTATAGTACTGCAGCTGAACTTCCGGTTTTGATAGGATCTAGACATGCCAAGGTGACGAAATTTAGATGATAGGTAGTTCTTGTGCTGGGGATGAAGTGACGTGAGTTTGGGCCCCCTAGCGGCTTGCTCTGGAACTGCAGGGCTATCTATTTGAAAATATTCAAAGCGTCATATAAGCGTTTATATCGGAAAACGAGCGGACCTAACTTGAGCTGATTTTCACATACTTTGTAGGTAGTACCCTGAACCCAAAGATAATTTCTGTAACTCGTTTGTGCACGCTACTATGAATTTTACAGCGTCGAACCTTCTCACTTTTGGAGAAAACTGTGTACTGCTGCCTTTAGATAAGAGATTTTCTCTGCAGCCTGACAACTCGTTTAAAAAGTTTAAACTTTTGTTTCAACATTAGATAGTTCTCACCTAGAACTTTCGACCAGTCACTCAGGTCTTCCTGAAAAGACTGATCCAGTGAGACCTGTCACGTGGTTTCTTTGAAATGTGATGTCAGCGCTGAGTATCTGGTATGGAAGAAGATTAGTGTGACTGGTCGAAAGCTCTAGATGAGAACTATCTCTTGTAATAGACCTTATGAAAATTATCAGATGAACTGACATGACAACTTCTTGACTCCGTCTGTTTTGCATCGTCATTATCAGATAAAGATTCAACTCGTCCATCCAAGCGAGGCAGTGAAGGTTCTACAGAGAGTGCGAGAGGTTCCAAACAAGAGAGTTTTTAACTGCAGCTTAGTCGACGTGAAAACGAAAGCCACCGACACAACGCAGTGTTTCAGCTCTGCCAACCCCAGCCTACTGCCCCACCAACAGTGCGATTTCTCAAAACCGGAGGTCAACGGGACTTGGATTTGTGAGAAACCGGACAAACTTCCGTGTTCCACCATATCAAAGTGCCGGTGGGAGTCTCACCACAGCGTGGTAAAGGTACTGGAACTGGTATCTAATGAGGAAAAGAAACTTTTCCAAAAGTAAGTCCTTCAAAGAGTGACAACAAAAGTTACATCTCCCTCGTCATTTTGATAAGTTCATACATGGCATGATGCTATCAGTGTTAGTTCGTTTTGAAATATTTCTTCAAAACCATCTTTACAGATAACGTATCAAATGTTATGGTCTACACCTTCAATACAAATGGGGTTACTATATAGGGGAATGCATTACCATTTCATCGATATATTGTTCATTTTTCACGAAACACGCACACAGGCCATATCTAGAGGAAGAACTTAAAGTAGACCCGATGGAGACCATTCAAATCCTTGACGCAGAACCACCAACAGCTCAACACCTTCCAGCGTGTACCTGGGACAAGTCTGCAGCTTTGGGACATTGGTCAGGCAAGGTCTGGACGTCATCCGTCTGCAATGTCCGAGTGTTCGCCCAGAATGACATCCAGCGGTGCCTGGCAAACAAGACCGTATACATGCAAGGTAGTCGCATCATTAGTGGTCTAGTGGTCAACGATAATGCTTCTTGTCGAGAAGGTCGATTGTTAAGTCTGTTGCTCATTCAACTTGCAATATAGGGAAGACGTCACAATTGCGCTGAGCAGTGGATTGTAGTGTCTAGTTGATATCTTTGAAAATCCTTGAAAATCTTGGTCCAGTTCGGAGACTTTGGGACTAGACGGAACAGGTAGGGTATAAACTTTCCTACGTTGTTAAAATTTTGTTCATTTTACCAGTTTAGTGGGCATGACGAGAGACCTGAGTCATGAGGTCTGGCCTGCCCAGGGCGGATGGATACATGAGAAAATTAGGTCAAATCTCTGTATAATGTCCTTGGTCAAATGTAGGGTTTGTTCACTGTTGGGGAGCACACCCTTGTGACTTTCTGGTGTAGCAGAATTTTTGAGATTAAAAAATGAGAAAGTACTTTCATGGGGACTTGTTTCAGTGTATTTAACCATAGGTTCCTATGGCCAAGGGTAATTGTACTCTCTGCCCTATATGACAGTGTGTAACTTGTTGTTCAATGTTAATTGTACAAAAGTAAAGAAATACCTACCGCTACTTCATCCAGCCCATACCTACTTTTGTAGCACCACTCTTTCTGCAATATAGAGTACCGTACCGTATACGCATTGTCAGCTAAACCTGAATCAAAATATTTTTTTCTCTAATCCAGGTGACTCCACGATTAGACAGTGGAGCCAGCGTTTGCAGGAGGTAGTACCGCTGTACTTCAGTACCATGAATTACTTTACAGGTTTGTCAACGTTTCCTAAAAACGGCTTCCATACATTGTCAAAATGAAGCATGCAAAGAGGTGCTCCAAATACTCCAAAACCAAAGTCGACATGCAGATAGTGTTTCAAGCACGGTCTTATCTGGTGCATTTTTGTTTGCAGGTCTTCATGGAGGAGACAACAGCCAGTGGAATATTTCTGTCCGTTGCCGGTTTCACCACATCCCCATACAGACAGGAACTTGGACTATCTTTTCTGACTTCCGTTACGTTGTTGATGAGCTGAACGCTACTCCGGGAGGCCCAGACACCGTAATAGTCCTAGGTCTGTGGGCTCACTTTACGGCAGAGCCGCTAGAACTGCTCTGGTCCAGACTGTACGCTATACGGGGTGCCATACACCGTCTCGTGCGCAGGAGCCCCGGCACGAAGGTTTTCGTGAGAACGGGAACAACGCGAGAGCACGGAGGATGGTTGGCGTACTACCTGCTAGGAAGCGACTGGCTGGCTTACCAGATCACGGAGGTGATACGAGAGATGTTCCGGGCGGATCCAGACGTGGTTGTGTTGGACACGTGGGACATGAGCGTGTGTCAGCCGGGAAAAGACAACGTGCACCCAGACCAAAACATGGTGGACAGTCAACTCAACATGCTGCTTTCTCATATCTGTCCAAACTAGACGGATGCAAAGGAAGACAAAACGACATCGACAAAAACAATCAAAGATGACGGACTTCACCCCTCGTTGATTAGAAAACTTTCCCGCCTATATGACAGGAAATTTTATCATTATAATTCAGTTAAACAGGAAGAAATTACACCCGGGGCAACGCACTAAGAAGGTAGTACTCCCCACTGTGGCTTCTCCAGCAGCTTGAATAGTGAATTAAACTAATAAATACCCTAGAAGGCCCAGCCACCAAAGACAATGGCAGGGACAGATTAGCATAATAACTGTCAGTTTTTTTAAACAAATTCAAATTTTTGTCTGTACCGGTTTTTAAAGAAATAATATCAAACCATGCAGAATGATCGGGATAGTTGAACTGAGTCACATACATGTAATCAAGAAAATGCTATCTGCAACTCTCAGTTTCTGGAAAACCAACCTTGTGGTCAAATTTCAATTTTTCAAACTGCCCTTTCAAAGTTTTATCAAAGTATCTAATTGTAGATATCTACAATGTCAATCTTACAACTGAATTAGGTTGGATAGTAAGTGTGTCTAGAAATATGGCTTGTAAGGTTGTAATTGTGGTGTGTCAATTTGGTAGTATGGGAAAACAGTATACATGTAGACTGGATCTCTCTTAGAACTGTACAAGTAACTGTAAATCATACTACCTGGCAAACCTTGGCAAGACAGTGTTGTCATTACTTTATATTCTGGGTTAGGCCATGCCACTAACTTCTTTATGTACATAAATTCCTTATCTGTTGCCAATATATTTCAAACCCAAAGAGTCGTTGAGAGTCTTGGTCACCACCTTAGCCAGCCCTATGCCCATGTTACCACCACGGTAGTCAAGGACAGAATGAAGCCTGGTAATTTATGTTAGCCGAATTTATTGGGTGCTTACATGATATATAGTACAAGCCTGTTCACACCACTAGATTATAGGTCCTTTGAAGGCCTTTTACTGGGGGGGGGTAGTGTTTGACCCCTGCACCCCACCCATCCACACACACACACACACACACACACACACACACACACACACACATTGGCATAAAGGCCTCTTTGTATGTGTTACATTATGGTGTAACCAATACATTATTGTGTAGACAAGCAAAACACTGACATTCTTTAAATATCCTTTTTCATAAATCACGGCAATGGAAATGAGTTACTTACATTAATACATTAATTCAAAGTATTTCTCTTAGATTAATGAAACAATGGTATAACATTAATTGAAATAGGAAACAATAAAGGTACTCTTTACCAATCTTGACAAGCGTATTAGTATATGAATGGCTGATTGCCCAGATGATACAGACGGTTATACACAATTGCAATTGACTTTTTTCATTGTGCTCTAATATATATTTAGTATCAGCATTATTATAGCAATCAAATTACCGGTTGGTAGTAAAGACTGTAGACATCGGAATGTGATGAACAAAGCTAGATCAAAGGAATAAACATTTTTGTATTAAACATGATAATGAGCTTTGAACGTGACTCTCTAATTTCTATACATATTTGTGTACTGGTTCATGAATTCATAAGGAACATTTTGACAAATGGAACAATACACAAATATGTACATAAATCTTCAGAGAGTCACCCAAAACGGAAAAAAATATATCTGTACAAAATAATGGGCCCAAAGCTAGGGCCATATCGTATCCAGAACCGTTCTTTGCCTGAATGATTTAGAGTTGGGATCAGGATATTCTCCGCATATCGGAAAGTAGATTTGCCCCAGGCACTGTCCTGAATGCACGTGGACTATCCAACACGGTGCCTTAGCATGATTTCGGATAAAGCACGGTTCTTAATTCAATTCAATTCTTTATCAGTATACATGTACCGACATTGCAGACATACAGTACATAGAATATTATAATTATACTGTTGCCTGAATGACATTGGTATTTACAATCAATACATTAAAAAACGCATAACATTATATTGCATTACATACATATATACAAGAATATATACATACTACTGATATGCTACAGTATATAGAATATTATAATTATACTGTTGCCTGAATGACATTGGTATTTACAATCAATACATTAAAAAACGCATAACATTACATTGCATTACATACATATATACAAGAATATATACATACTACTGATACATCCCAGGCATAGCAAGTTCAGATTAAACAGTCTGATTGTGGCGTCTGATAAACTGATGTTGGAAAGAGTTCTGAAGTCTTTTTGTTTTGGCTGGGGGATGGAGATGGTGTTTTTGTTTCTAAGAAATCGTCCAGTAGCATTAGCTCTGGAGACAGGGACAAGATCATGTATACGGGGGTGGTCGTCCTGGAGCATCTGTGTAAAGATACACCATCCCAGAATAGACACAAACAAACAAACAAAAATCCAGGTTCTGGATACAGCACAGCAGAATAGACAAACATTCCAACCTCAGTCTACATGATGAATGATGTTCGAAACGACTCCGAGTGACGATTGCAAACATCACATTAACGACATTGTAACCAGCAACGCTTCATGACTTAGAAGATGGGTAATACCACAATCATAATACACAATACATGCTAAAACACCCTTCTTAAACCGTAAGGTAAATGATCTCAATTTGGAACAACCGGCTTGGGGTTTTGTGTCGAAGCCTACCCCTATTTCTGTTGAACTATTGAGGACAACAGCTCTTGACAATAGACGATACCATACCACATACAACACGGGAGTCCCGTATTATTTCAATAAATCACCTAAAGTGCAGCTAAAAAGCCCCAAATTCACCATTTCGGGACCTCAATAACAAACCACGGACCTAAATTCAAACAAATCCGTCCAAAGGATCGTAAGCTATAGATATGTATAGATACAAACTCACAAACCCAACTGAAAGCAAAACCTCCCTTTGGAGCCAAAATGCATGTCCTTCGTATGACATCCCTGTCACACCACCATTATAGGGCAAAGGTCACTATTTGGCGCCTGTCCAGAAGGCCCAATTTAGTGAGTGCAGCCAAACCAACTGAAAACAGCCTTTTTCTTGGTATGTGCGGATGAATGCTGGAATTTTCCAGCTCGAGAGTTATTTCTTTTTCTATTTTGTTGAAAAACTGGCTCATAGACTTGTTTTGGCTGCCTGTTACAGCTCTAAAGCAATGCCATTGTTTTTTTTATGTGCAGAGGGGTCTGAGGTCATGATCTCAGTGTTTCCATGGATCTTACTCATTTTCGCCGGACAAAGTGTGAAATTTTTTGACTAAATGGACAATTTGGAAGTTGGACTGCCCTGTCAGATCTTACTCATTTTCGCCAGTCAAAGTGCGAAATTTTTGGACTAAATGGACAATTTGGAAGTTGGACTGCCCTGTCAATATGAGTTTGCAATAGTTGAACACACAAGTAGGTGATTTTTGACATCTCACTTCTTGTATGATTAACATATATTCCATTTTAAATGGGGGTTGGAATGTGTGACAGGAGCTTAGGGATTCACCATGTTGCGTGGAAAGATAGTTATAGTGGATAGAGACAGTAATGTAGTCACTACCAACTCGCCATCTGGTCCCATAGCAATGCCAGACGGGAATTGAATGTTCGCGATGGTACAGACAAACTCCCCGCGGCTTGTGAACATGTCTACCCGGTTGTTATCATAGCCTGCTATGATGATGTTACCCGATTCGTCCCGGTAAATACCTTTAGAATATTTTCGTTGGCCCACACCCCGTCCGATAAATTCAAATATCTTGACTCCGGAGTGAGTACACCTCAACAGCTTTATACGCGTTTATAAATGTAAGCAGTATATTACTTTCGCTGTCCGATATGACTCCTCCGATCACACCTCGCTGCCTTCCTGATGATAACACTTTAAAACTCCGATAGAGATATCCGTCTGGATCAAACAGCTTTACTGTATTTCCCTCCCCGACGATAATTTCATGTTTCGCACATCTACGGGAAGGGCATAGCTTAAGCTGGTGAAGCTTACGTCGAACTTCTTCATAGCCTGGCCGCTCCTACTGTACTGTACGACATGCATGAGATGTCCCTCGGACACACCGGACTTACCCCTCACTACCCACAGGTAGCCGGGATATACGCCAACAGCAACATCATAAGGTACCATAAAGCGGTTTTTACCCGGTAGTACCGTGTGAAACAGTCGAAGATCGTTCTTTACACAAACACCCCAGTCTCTCTCTGACTGCTGACGATTTAAGACATCGCATTAACAGTGATGTTAGTCACGCTTCAGGACTGAGAAGATCGCTGATCATAATCACAGTACAGCTTAAAAGTTCCTTTCCTAAAAGTAGTGTAGTATAGTCAGGTACCGTGAAGTAAATGACCTTAATTTGGAACGTGTTAATTTATGTCGGAGCCTGCCCACCCCCATTTCTGTACAAGTTCGTCAACTCCAGACCACGCCAACTAAATCTGGTGCCACAGACTTGACTTCAGAGAAAGAGAATAGAACGGAATATACTACTCCAAAGTCTGTTACATCTCCGTCTATCCGCAAAGTGTTCGGAGGTCTTGAGAATATCATCTTGAGTCCCTTCACAAAGATGAGAGAATCTACCGGAAAAAGCAGAGAAGAGAAGTCACGACAGACAAACCGATCGCGACGCGATATTCTTGCCGACAACTCCCTCCCCGAAAAGAGTGCTGATTCCAATAGTGAAACTTTGTACACTACTTTGGTGGACGAACTGAATGAACTGAAAACTCTAGTTTTCAATAACAAAGTAGCGATGGACAAGCAGGGGCAGCAAGTCGCCGATCTACAAGCTAATGTCCAAAATAAAACGAAGAAGATCGAGAAACAGGCCAAGCAGATCGAAAATCTGATGACCGAACTCCAACACCAGCGTGAATTCTCTAAAGACTTATCAGACAAACTCTCTTCGAAGTGTGCATGTGTCTGTGCTACTCGGGGAGATGAACGGAGAATTCAACGGCTATATTCAGAAATCGTAAGCTCAGCAGCTCAGAACGACACCTATGCGCCCGACACACAGACATCAGCAACCCCCGACAAACAGGGCGGTGCTGTGTCCGACATGAAGACTCCGGAAGCCCCCCGTGACAAACAGACCCCGGCAGCCTCCCGCTCTCAGGCCCCAGTGCCCACCGGTACAGACACACGGATCCAGGCAGTCTCCGGTACACAGGAACCGGCAAGCCCCGCCATACAGGCTCCGACAGACCCCGGCAAGCAGCCCCCGGCTCCGACAGACTCCGGCAAGCAGCCCCCGGCAACCTCCAGTCCCGACTCACGCGCCCAGGCAGTCCCTGTACACAGTCCCGACAACTCACGACACACGGGCCCGACAAACCCGGCGCACAGGCTACGACAACCCCAGGCACACAGGCCTCGGTAACCTATCCAGCACAGAAAGAGAATAAACAAATCAGAATCTTTGCCGACTCGCTTTGGAATGGCGTTGATACAAACAGAATGTTTAAGAACAAAAGTTCGAGCATCGTCAAGTCCAGCACAGTAAGAAAAGCCTCTGAGAATGTCAACTCGTCCCCTGACAACACGAC